GGGTAACGTTTCGCGCTCAAATTCATTTCCGAAGATCTATATGAAAATTCACTTGAGACGTGTTTCTCACTTTTCATTATAAAATTTGAAAATAAGTTTGAAGCAAATCGGACACAACTTAAAACTTCGCCCAAAAAATCTTTAAATCGCATTCCTCCCGAAGAAGTTTGAATTCTGCGAAAAGTGTGAAACACGTCAATAATGATTTTTCTTATAGATCTCTGGAAATGAATTTGAGCGCGAAACGTCACCCACCAAATCTTTGACCTCCATTTTTACCAAGGAAGAATGCATTTTCCTAAAAGTGTGAAACACTTTTTTCGCGATTTTTCCACATTTGCGGGTGGAATTTCCCGAAACCCCGTCTTAATGTGCACCTACATCACATAAGGTAACTAGAGTGAAAATTTCAGCTTCCTAGCTCTTACGGTTTGGGCTGTGCGTTGATCACCAATCAGTCAGTCAGTCAGTCAGTCAGTCAAGACAAACAGTTTTATATATAGAGATATATATTATTTTAGGTGGTGTAGGAACTTTCGGATTTTGCTGAATGTTGTCCTTGCTGCCATTGCTCCTTTTTGCGGAACTGAAATAATAGATAGACAGTTAAGACAAATAGATTGATGCATAGATAAATAGTCAAATTGATAAATATGTGGAATAAATGCTCAGTAATCACTCAGGAGCTAGGACTCCAAGATTACAAGTTTTATTGGAATAATCGTAGATGTGGAAGGAATTGAAGGCACAGAAAACATGTAGAGCGACACATTCATTGTGAAATATTAATTATTGATAGGGCTTCTGCTCGGATGTAGCTAAATCACGTGACAAAAGTTCGTTTCGGCAGTCGTTGCCATTAAAATGAGCCATTACACTTTTCTACTCTTCTACTCTTTAACTGTCATGGTATATTATATTATATATGACATACAACTGAAGGTTGCAAATAAAAAATAATAGCAATCTTCTTGAGGAATTATAAATAAATAAAACATTTCACGCTATATTTTACAATTTTTCACAATAAATATTTCCAAAATAATACCTTTAATCATTTTAAATAAGATGTATGATATTTTAAATGCATTAACAAGCAAAATGCTCTAGTCCCTATTAGGGGATACCCTGAACTCTTTTCTACAAATAAATATAAATTTGAAAAAAATCGAGAAAGAAGGGCTATCTTCGGCACGCCGCATTAATTCCGTTGCAGACCTAAATATTTCATAATGCTCATAATGCTTTGCTCGTATCTAAGAAGCACAAGGAAAATGGTTAATGCCGAGTATGATTAAGATATCTTGAAAAACAAAAAGTATTTTATCCAATTTAATTTTAGACCGATCGCTCCTATGGAAGCTATATGATATAGTAGTCCGATATAAATAAGATTTTGCCTAAAAGTAAAGAGCATAGTGAAACTTATAAATGGCGAGTCTGGTCAAGATATCTTGAAAAACAAAAAAGTTTTCCATACAACAACCTAATTTTCGACCGATCGTTCCTATGGCAGCTATCTGATATAGTGGTCCAATGTTGTTAGGATTTTGCATATATATGAGGAGCATAGTAAAACTAATGAATCCCGAGCTTGGTCAAGATTTCTTCATAAACAAAGAAGTTTTTCATACAAGAACCTACTTTTCGACCGATCGTTCCTATGGCAGCTATATGATATAGTGTACTGCATGCAACAAAAAAAAAATAATAGATTCAAAACTAAGAGACTAGTTCGCATAGAAACAGACAGACGGACATGGCTATATCGACTCGGCTGGTGATACTGATCAAGAATATATGTATATACTTTATGGGGTCGCAAATGTCGCTTTCTATGCGTTACACATTGCGAGACAAAATTATAATACCCTCTGCAAAGGTATAAAATAACAAGGCCACAAATACGATGGTTGGAGCCCAACAACATTTTTTCATTTTGGTCCAAACTATTTAAGAAAACAATATGGTTTAAGTCCGGGCTTAGAGTTCCAGGTTCAAGCCGATTTCATTTAAAATTGCCTTGCTCTTTTTATTTTGGCACAACTTTAAATATTAATATTGTTTAGTTTAAAATAATACTGTATGGTCTACACAGCAATTCTATAAAATACGATTAAAGTTTTTGACTTGTCCAATTAGCTGAATATTGACTGGAATGGCTTATTAAGATTATTTGGTGGTTACATTTGCATTGATAGTTCGTCCCTGGTTCAAGCCATTTGGTCTGGTCTAGATTCAGTCTAGTAATGACCACGTCACGCGCTAAAAATATACGTTGCTGGGCATTTGGTTAGAAAGTGGGGTTGAAATGAGGAGCACGCCTTTGCCATGGATCTATTTTGGACTGAAAATTGGTGACGCGTGTTGAGGGCTCGTTGTCATGGCATTGACCAGACCAGGCCACATGGGCCAATATCTGCGGTTTTCCCGTCTAGCATATACTCCTTCAGAAGTCGCTGGTATCCAAGTCTAATAACATAATAATCTAATAACATAATTCACTTGACGTTCGTATCTTATCGCTCGCTGCATTTTATCGATATCAGCCGGACAATGGAAGTACCATCAGAAACAACTGACGTACAATGCCCGTGTCCTGGGTATTCACATGATCTCATCAGCATCGGCATTGGCATCGGGATCATCAAGATGACCATCGTGACCACCATGAGCTTAATTCAAGCGCATTCATTTAATTGCCATGCGCTTTCCTGGTGACCTTTTTATCTACTCTATTTGCCGCCCATGCAGGCCGACAAAGTGTTGCCTAAACTCAATTTTCTGTTGTGCCCTTACATTCTGGCAATTCAATTATTGTCTTGTTGTGCAAATTGCTAGACATTCGGCCTGTTGGTATCTCTAACGCCTTGCCTTAGTTTATTCCTCTCTTCGATTTTCTACGTGCTTACAAAATAACAGTTGGCCAGCGATATCATCATCATCTTTGTGAATTTCGTTAATGTTGTTTTTGCATGTTTTTCTCACTTTTTTATCACGTTGGGGTATGCAGACCCGTTTCATTGGTCAAACTTATATTGAGGTGTCTTTTCCGACTGCCATGCAACATGTTCATATGATACGAATACAATTAATTGGTCTCATTTTTAAATTCCAATGAATTAATTTCATTATAGAAAATGCTGTATATAACATCCAAGCTGATATAATCCCAAACGAGCTTTTTACAATTTTGTTAAAAAAAAGTAAAATATTAAAAACACAGCTTTAGTATACTCTACGAGGCTTTCCGTTATATGTTCAAAAATGAATTTCGATATCGATTTTTATCAATTGAATGGGATTGAGGCATTTGAATGATTTGAGGCAAACTCGTGCAGCGTGTTTCAGGTCTTCAGTTCTTACATTTTACTATTATTTGAAAGGATACAAAATGTAACAAAATAATAATTAATAATAATAATTAAAAATAATAATATTTCTTCCACTTAATCGATTTTAAGTACGCTTCATGTTTCTAAATATTATAATTACATTTCAATTAATGTTTTAAGAATTTACATTTACTAAGCCTTTGACTTAATCAAAGGGAGTGTGTAACATGTTCCCCAATTTTGCGGAAACGGTCAACAACTACAAGCGCCTGCGACAAACATTTGCAAGGTCCATCCCCCTCCAGACCCACACACTACCCAACGGGATGGCACCACAGTACCAACATGGAGCTCGACCCAAATATCATTTAACACGCATGTAAACAAAATCGCTTCAATACACGTGCCCAAACAGAACCGAGAACCGAACATGGAGATGCAGTTGTTTTTCATCAAATTCAGCAGGAACAAAGCACTTTATAATTGCTTCTCTTCTATTACTGACTTAACTTCGAACTAAAATTTGATCAACCTTCCAAGCACTCGAATTCGAATGAAAATTTTTACTGGTCAGTGCGTCAAACAAATTGCAATTCATTGAATATGCAGCAACTGAACTTAAGCCCCAGCCTTTTGGCCAATGATGAGAAGTAGGGTGCTCACTACCCTCAATACGGACTGCATACATTTGCTGTTGGCCCTTGACCCCACTTTGTAAACCCTTGTGGAGGGTATAAGAATTTTGTCATGACGTGTGCATATGCTTATGCTTAGAAGGCAGACTGCATATATGTATATTCTTAATTAATATTTGTCTTTAAGATATGTCAAGATATGATAAATTTCAAGATATATGCATCCTATATCATCATTCAGTCGAAAATAAAGCGTATTTAATCTTCCGTGTGCCAGTTATTTGCATTATTACTTGTTTAATTGCTTTTTGTTGTTGGAAAAATAGCTTGAGCAGAAATTAAATAGGTGTATTGCCAGCGACTGCTATTGAGTACTGAAGCCGATTGGGTCATTGTTTTGACTGGTAAAGCTGATTGTTCTTATTGCCGTTAATAATTAAATGTAGTTTACGCCGTGTTTAACTAACTCGAAATTTCTGTAAGCTCCATTTGAAAGTATAATCAATATGCTAATAGACGAGCAGCCGCTAAGGGGAAAAATTAAAATTATTTCTCGAGCACTTGCTCATTTGCTGTTTGCTGCTTTGCTTGTCTTCTCTGCTTCGCTGCGGAGATCTCTTATTTTGCCCCGGCTTCGGGCTACACCCTTTGCCGGAGCCCCAGCAATAGTTGTGCCCATTGCAAAAGAAGTTTTCTAGACAGCCGCCATTTCGTTCTGCTTCTGCCACTCCGAACATGTTCACTTTGTACATGGCCTGCATAATTAATGTTTGGACTCGGGCTCAAAGCTCTATGCTGTTTCCTTTTAGAAGTAACGTGATAAAGAAAAATTTGTGGTCATTTTGTGTTTAGGTAATTTTCAAATTGTCATAGATAAAGATTATGCGTTGCCATATAAAAGCAAATGCCAAAGCTAACAGACTCGTGTAAGGATTGACATATAATTTAAACGGCACTTTTACCATTTGAGTGAAGTAATTGTTATAACGATTCAATTTCCCTTTAACGCAATAAGGAGCAAGTAAAAATATAAATGTTCATTTGTATTTGAAATAAAATTATTTACTAACGGAATGTGAGTTGGCCAAACGTTGAAGCAGTTCACACACGCAAATATTGGCAATTCTGTTGGCAGTATTCGTTATGCAAACTGCTATTATCACAATTTATGCAGGTGAGTTGTCCGAATTTTAGGGGAACTTTAAAGTGGCCTAAGAATGTGCGGAGGCAACAAGCACATGACAAATTTGGCAAATGTAAATTTGAGTATATTATGTCTAGCAGCAGGGCCCTTTTTTAGCCATGCTGTCCGCTCGGTTATCAATCATAGTCCTGCTCAACACTAAATTACAGCCAAATGAGCAGCTGCCATTTTTCATGCTTCCTAGCCGGTTGTACTGTGTTTTTATCTTCTTATTTGGCTAAATAAAGGCCAAATTCTTTGTGCTACGCCATTTCGGTTGCGTATTTGTGTGTGTGTGTCAAGGCCATCCGCCGAATGACTGCTTTGGTCACATCCGCAGAATGGCCTTACTAATTTTATGCCCATTTGCATTTCTTTTTAGCGGCAGTCTCTAAAGAAATGTGTTAACTTTATCTAAATTGTTGAAACATTTACAAAATGACCACATGTACCGTATTTTCAATTTTCTGCTCGTTACCCTCTTCCAGGTCAACATTTTATGGCACAAGCCCTAAGCGAATGCAAAACCCAAGCCTCTATAAAGACGTTTATTATGTCTATCACTCGATCGGCTGGCGGAAGGTCACCGTCTTGGTGAGACGTGAGCTCCCTTTGGTACACTCCAGAATTTGAATGTGTTATTTCGCTGGGCTGGCTGTAGTTAATTTAGCTGCCAGTTTTGCTCGTTTCACTGTTGTCTACGCTTTATTCTTCCGCAGTATAAATGTACGAGGCATAGTAAATATAAATGCCGAGTTTGGTCAAGATATCTTAAAAATAAAAAACATTTTCCATAGAAAAACATCGTTTCTATGGCAGCTAAATGATATAGTAGTCTGATCTTGATAGGATTTTGGGGAGCATAGTAAAATAAATAAATGCCGAGTTTGGTCAAGCTATGTTATCTTGATAAACAAAGAAGTTTTTCATTCAAGAACCTACTTTTGGACAGATCGTTCCTATGGCAGCTATATGATATAGTGGTCCGAACCAGCTGGTTCCGACACACATATGTACTGCGTGCAACAGAAAGAGGGACGTATGCAAAGTTTCATGACGATAGCTTTAAAACTGAGAGACTAGTTCGCATAGAAATAGACAGACGGGCAGACGAACATGGCTATATCGATTCGGCTGTTGATACTGATCAAGAATTTTGAGCCAAAATTTTAATACCCTCTGTAAGGGTAAAAAATAGAACACTTCAGTTAGTTATTAAATAAACATTAGTAATTTACAAGTTATTCGGTCATGTCGGATTGTGCAAAGGAAGAGCAGAAAAGGCTGTACATTTTTTGTATACCCTGAGCCCATTAAAAGTGGGTAAAAAGGAAATAATGTATTTATGCAAATGTATGTAACAGGGAGAGGGAAGCTTCTCCGGCCCCATAATGGATATGTATTCTTGATCAGCATCAGCCGACTCGATCTAGCCATTTCCGTCTCTCTGTCCGTCTGTCCGTATGTATGAACGCATGGATATAAGAACCTATAAGAGCTAGAGACTTGAAATATGATACATAGGTTTTCCTTTGGACTTGTTATCCTAAAATTATATCAGATTTGGCTTTATTTGAACGTTTAAAAAATTTAACTTCATGTGTCCTGCATACGAGAGAGAGTTCTCAGTTGAGAGTGACAGACGTGTTTTACTTGTGCTCCAAGATTTTTATATATTTTTGCGCTTTAATTCAGTTTTCTGATTCTAAATTTTGAATTTTTTGTGCCTTATTTAAAAAGCTTTAATTTCTTGTGCAAAGTGATATCTTTTGCGCAGCGTAAGTCTATAAATTATTGCATTTATTGAACGCGGCGTCAATTCCATGTTGTTGTTATTGTATGTTTTGATTCTTTTGTTTTGGTGCTCCCCTGTGTATACACTTATTTTTGCATGTGTTCGCTGCTGCATATTTCTGCTTGTGCATCGCGCTCTCGCAAATTTTTGCTGTTGCCTTTCGCTCCAAACAATTTGTGTGAGTACGAATATTTTTAGAGAGTTTGCTTGCTCTATTTTTGCGCACTGTATTTCGTTTCGCTCTGCGCTCTCGCAACTTCTGCTTATCTTTTAACGCCGGTAGAAAATATGTCGTGCTGTAAGAAACCTTGCACGTTCAAGCAGGCTGATGATTCTTCACAGCCGCAATTTGTTAATTGCAGGCTATGTGAGAATATGAGGCATACTAAATGTGCAGGTCTCACCGCACTCAAGAAGGGCTGCGGCGGCTTGCGTTGGTCGTTCCCGAATTTCATCGACAGACAAATTGATTTCTCCAGAATGTATAATTCGAGTAACTTTGACTCGAGTTTTGAATTGCTTAGCAATTACAAATTCGAATCTCCTCCCAATCGCCGGTTAGAGCCTCAATTTTTGCACTTGGATTTATCTCCAATATTGTCTTTATCGGCCTCTCCGAGCGATTGTCCAAATATTACCCCTGCTGTAACCTCTGGAGTAGTCCCAGTAGTCCCTGCAGTTGAACCTGCCCCAGTCAGCGCAACTGCTTCAGCCCCGTCAACTTCTGGCCGCAAAGGTAGACTTTCGCGAAATCTAGCCCAGATTGTAAAAAGCAATCATGGTGCCTCTTTGGCTCCACCAACTCCTGTATTCCCTGCAGCCCCATTAGCTCCTACTTTAACTGTTGTTGTGTTCCTCTTAGGCAACTTGTCTCAAATTTCTTCTAACACCACTTCTGAGTCATTGGCAGCATTTATTGCTAGCAAATCTACCACTAGCGTGTCAATTACCAAATTTAATTCCTCCACTCCTCGTGAAATCTCCACACATGATTGTTCAAGAGTTCAAGCCAAACAAGTAAGAGGTTCTAGTCGGGAGCTCCCGAGTAGGGGATACCCTGAACCCTCTTCTTCCAACAGGCGATAGGTATAAAATGATAGATACTTGATTTATATATACTATTCTAGAAGCTATGTACATGTCAAGTTTGGTGACTCTAGCTCATATTATTTACCGCAATTGCCCAAAAAACAGGATTTCGAGACCGATTTTTATCGATTACTTGGAAACGGGGCTGGTTATCAAATATCGGAAACAAACTCGATCTGCACGGGGAGGAACTGCAGCTAAAATTTCAAGTCTCTAGCTCTTATAGGTTTTGAGATCCTTCCGTTCATACATACGGACGGACGGACGGTCAGACAGACGGACATGGCTAAATCACTCGGCTATTGATGCTGATCATGAATATATATACTTTCTGGGGTCGGAGATTATTCCTTCTGCCTGTTACATACATTTGCACAAATACATTATATGCCTTGTACACATTTTTAATGGGTTTAGGGTATGAAAAGCGAAACCAGCCTGTCATCCTTGCAGTCCCTACAATACAGGGTGTCGTTTCTACCCCAAAAAACTAACTTTGTCTTCCGACCAAGTTTCTATTAATTATCAGAATGTCAGAAGTCTCATTTCCAAACTTAAAAATCTTTTTATGGCTAGCACTTCCTTCGATTCGGATATAATCGCATTTTCAGAAACATGGTTAAATTCAAGAATATCTGATATTGAGGATTTTTCGAACAATTTTTTTTTTGCATAGAAATGATCGGCCGACTCGAGGTGGTGGTGTATTAATTGCCGTTAAAGCCTCTCTCCAGTCAGAACTTTTCTGTTTAAGTACGCCTACTGACGCTGAGATTGTCTCGGATAAGTTGTCTTTTCCTACACGGAACATATATATTACATGCTCCTATGTTCCTCCTTCTTCTGATATTCAAGTTTATATGAAACATATTTCTTGTATTTAAGAAGTTTCTTCACACGTGCGTGATAATGACCTATTTATTGTGTTGGGTGATTTAATTTGCCGAACATCTCTTGGTCATTATTCACTGCCGAAAATTATATAATACCCTCAGCACAGCATGACTTTACGATTGCATGCTTGACCTTTCGTTATTTCAAATCAATTAATTTTCTAATCATTCGAATAGAACTCCTGATCTGGTGTTTGTAAACGACAACCTTATTATTATGTGTCTAGGTCCACTCCTTTATCCATTCCTGAGGATGTATATCATCCTACTTTAAAAGTTGCAATGTTCAATTGCAATCTTCTTATTTTGCATTGATCAGCTACCTAAAAGCCACGAAGTTACTTTCGCAAAGGAAACTATTCCTTGCTTCATCAACGTACTCATGCAACTGATTGGTCGTTTTTATATGACTCGGTTGATATGAATATTGCTATTAATTTTTTTTATAACACCCTGAACTCCAACTTAGATGCTTGTATTCCTAATTCAACTCCCTCAATTGTTTCTTCAAAGCCACCCTGGTTCACTCCCAGATTATCAAACCTAAAAAAAAAAAATTCTAAATATTTAAAAAGTTTAATAAGCCTGGTTCGAGTACTGACTTGGCTAAATATTCCATAGCTAAATCGAACTTCTTTCTTCTTTATTCTCAGTGCTATGAGAATTATCTTTCTCGTTGCAAAAAGCAATTTGCCCAAAATCCGAGAAAGTTTTATAATTTTTTAAACTTGAAGCGTAAATCTTCAGGTTTGCCATCTTCTTCTTCTCTCGGGATGGATAAAGCTAGCAATGACTCTGATTCTGCTAAACTCTTTGCTAATTTTTTCCAGTCAATCTACTTTTCAGTCTATCCTAATAATAATTCTTACCCTTACAATATTACTTCTTCCGGTTGTATACCAGCTCCTATTATTTCCCATTCCTCTCTCCTTTCTGCTATAAATTCTTTAAAATCTTCTTACTCTCCTGGGCCTGAAAATATTCCGTGTTGTCTACTCAAGGAGTGTAGTTCTTCCCTTCTTCGTCCATTGCTTAAGCTTTTCAATCTATCCCTTGAAACTGCTGTCTTTCCATCTCTTTGGAAATAATCTTATATCATTCCCCTCCACAAGAAAGGTGGAATGTCTGATATACAAAATTACAAAACTGTCCGATATCCCCAAATAACTTGAAAAACTAATCACTTCGGATTTGCAGCATTTCTGCAATTCAATTGTCTCCCCTGTTCAACATGGATTCGTAAAGAATCGGTCAACTACGACCAATCTGCAAGAATTTACTTCCTTGTTAAATGATGCCTTTCTTACTAAAATGCAAACTGATGTCATTTACACTGACTTTAGTAAGGCGTTTGACTCTGTGCACCATGATATTGTACTTCTTAAACTTGACCGATTAGGTTTCCCTCCGTCTCTTTTGCTTTGGATTAGTTTGTATTTAAAAGGTAGGACCCAAAAAGTAATTCTAAGGCTGACTACCTCAAGACTGGTTCACGTTACTTCTGGTGTTTCTCAAGGGAGTCATCTTGGACCTATACTCTTTACTTTTTTTATAAATGATCTCCCATCGGTTTTACTTATGTATGCGGACGATGTGAAACTTATTCTATCACACACTAACCCCCGACATCGTTCTCGTCTACAAGATGAGTTGAACGCTTTGCAACTTTGGTGTTCGGTTAATCAATTGCATCTAAATTGTTGAAAATGTATGTTAAGACCTTCAACCATACTACACCTTATCTTGTTAGTTATACAATTGACAATAATCCATTGCAACGTATACTAACAGTTAAGGATCTAGACGTTCTTTTTGATTCTAAACGCAGCTTCAATTTTCATATAGATACAATTTTTAATGAGGCAAAAGGTGTACTTGGATTAATTAAACGATGGACTAAAGAGTTTAACGATCCTTTTAACACGAAACTTCTGTACATCTCTCTTGTTCGCCCTATTCTTGAATACTGCTCTTGCATCTGGTCTCCGCAATATAACAACAGCCTGGATCGTATTGAATC